CGGGGGGGGAGGAGGCGCGCTTTGCTGCTGCTGCTGCTGCTGCTGCTGCTGCTGCTGCTGCTGCTGATCTCGCGGGGATTAGTTTGCTGCTGATCTGCTGGTTGTAAGCAAAAATCTTCAGCGATTTGCTGCGCTGCAGCAAATTCGAATAGGAACTTTTTATTACGCCCAGAGCTGCTGCTGCAGCAGGCGACAAGCTGCTGCTTCCTGCTGCTGCTGCTGCTGCTGCTGCTGCTGCTGCTGGGGGATTGCCTGCTGCTGCTGCTGCTGCTGCTGGGGAGGAGTGAGGGGAAGCTGCTGCTGCGGAGCAGAAACGGCGGCAGGAGGCAGCAGGAGCTGCTGCTGCTGCTGCTGTTGCTGCTGCTGCTGCTGCTGCGGAGCAGAAAAGGCGGCAGGAGGCAGCAGGAACTGCTGCTGCTGCTGCTGCTGCTGCTGTTGCTGCTGCTGCTGCTGCGGAGCCGCAAAGGGCCCCTCGGAGGGGGGGCCCCCACACGAGAGGCAGCATCCAAACCCTAAACCCTAAACCCTAAACCCTAAACCCTTTCATTCCATACTAGAAATTATAAACCCTAAACCCTAATTTTAAATTGATGTCCCTACACAAACAGAAGATGAGGGTTTAGCTCGCCGCAAGCCCCAAACCCTCGACCCCGGGGCCCCAGACCCTAAACCCTAAACCCTAAACCCTAAACCCTAGACTCTACACCCTAAACCCTAAACCCTAAAAGTGATATTATAATTTTAAAATCGAGTAATTTTTTCTAGATTTAGGGTTTAGAGGCTTGTTCGGGCGGGAGTCTAAACCCTAAACCCTAAACACTAGACCCTAAACCCTAAACCCTAAACCCTAAACCCTCGAATGGGGAGTACCAATGGCTGCAGAAGCAAACCCTCACATCCAAACCCTTAATTTTGAAACTTCCAGCCATAAATGCTGCTGCAACTGCTGCTGCTGCTGCTGCTTCTGCTGCTGCGTGTGTTGCTGCTGCCACTGCTGGTCAGGTGCTGCTGCTGCTGCTGCTGCTGGAGTTGCTGCTGCTGCTGGTGTTCCGGCTTGTGTTGCTGCTGCTGCTGGTGTTGCTGCTGCTGCTGGTGTTGCTGCTGCTTCTGGTGTTGCTGCTGCTACTGCTGCTGCTGCTGCTGCTACCGCTGCTGCTGCAGCTGCTGCTGCACTGACTGGGTGTCTGGAGTGTACAGACAGTTCAGTCGCTCGTCCCCCCAATTCCTCTGTGGGGATCAGAAACCCTAAACCCTAAACCCTAAACCCTAAACCCTAATTAACTTTCGAGTGGAAACTGATAAACCCTAGACGGTAGACTCTAGGGAGAAAAACCACCGGGCTGCGCTGCTGCTGCTGCTGCTGCATGTGCTGCTGCTGCAGCAGCAGTTTGCCCAAATAGCGCAGCAGTTGCTGCTGCTGCAGCGTCTGCAGCAGCTGCTGCAGCAGCAGCAAATGCAGCAGCCACGAAAGCAGCAGCAGCCGCTCCTCCGGAACAGATGCAGCAGCTGCTGCTGCAGCTGCTGCTGCAGCAGCAGCAAATAGTAAGGACAAGACTCGTCTGAGGTGTATCCGCAGCTTTTCTTGTAAAATGCAACAGCTCTTTTGTTGCAGCGCAGCACAGTGCACATTATCTTTTTAAAACGCAGAGGCAGCAGCAACTCATTTGCTGCTGCTGCTGCTGCTGCTGCTGCTGCTGGTTGTGCTGCTGCTGCTGCTGCTGCTGGTTGTGCTGCTGCTGCTGTTGGTTGTGCTGCTGCTGCTGTTGGTTGTGCTGCTGCTGCTGTTGGTT